TTGAAGATGTATTGCAAATACATGTGTCAAGTACATATCGAAATGTATCTCCATCAGCCAGTTCGACAGCACTACCTAGATCTTGAGGGTGAGAGTGAGGGTGATAAAAGTATATTTCGCTTGACGATGGATATTATATTATGAGAGGAAGCGATATAAGGTCTAAATGAAGGATATATAAGAGGATGATTGATCGAGAATTCAAAGGGTAAAATATTTCATGCCGTTAATATTTTAGAAGTGATGATCTCTGAATATATATATACTTTTTATAATTGGTTTTTGTTGCTTACTGAATGAATCTCATAGGTACAATTGCATCAAATGCATTAACACGAACAATAACGCCCGTGCTTCAAATAATCTTTCTCAATCGTAAAGGTTATCAAATTATAGTTTCGTATAATACAACAGCAGGCGACATTACTGGTACTTTTAATGGTCTGTACACAATACATCCTAAAGAGAGACTAGAATTTGCAATAGATAATTCAGCAGAGACTAGATGTTTCAACTACGGAAAAAAAGACAATTCTGTTAATGTCATCTATAAACCTGGAATAGGCACTGCCTTCATAACCATACGTGCTATTAGTAAATCACGGGTTGCTTGTGATCTTCTATTTGCTATGGCAATTAATAGGCCTTAGGATTATCCAATTGCTGTAACTCTCGAAGGATCCACTGCATCCAATATACGAGAAATACGTCTTGGTACAAATTGGACACTTATTTACAGAGATTCAACAGGTACTGAGACTAAAACTGATCTTGGGCGCAAGGTAAATGGTAAAAAAACCAAATATAGAGACAGTCTTTTGAAGTACAGTTATCTAAATGAGTATATAAGTGGTCGATCATTTGATTATATTACTTTTTTAATGACTAAAAATGTGCAGCTTCCAGTTATATTTAGATCCATCTATGATTCATTTATTTTTTAACAAAAAGAAATATTTACAATCATATATTTAATGAAGACTATTAAAGTAAGCTCTAGAAGCTGCGTCTTGAATCATAACCTGCATTTTTCTGCAGCTATAACGTAGAACATTTCCACCAGCTTTTTGCTGATTAGCCTCTCCATGAGAGCATGGCGCTACTTTGAGCACTTCTTTCGGTGTTGGTGGGTCGTTTAACCGTAACATCACTATGATCCCATTGCAGCATTGTCGAGATATGTTGGTTGCTGCACTTTCCACCTCCAAATGTTCGTTCCGAAAACACTCCATGCTATCGCATAAGTGTGAAGCTACAAAAGTTACATAAAAATTACCCATAGAATTAGTAGCATACTCACTTGTGTCACCACCACCAGTAAACGTCAATTTTGAAACTTTCTTCGGTAACAGGACGCGAAGGCATACATGGTGATGAATTATATTAAATTGGCCAATTGACATTGATGCAAGAAATTCCTTCGCTTTTTTTTGTATACATGGCCAAGCGCTGCAAGAACCCTCCACTCTGATCTTTGGATGGTGTGAGGGTGGATTACTCAGCATATTCGGCGTAATAAGGCATTCCATTCAGTCTTTTAGATCTTTTCCTATTAAAGAAAACACCAGTTTTGCAAAACATGAACTAAAAGAAGTGTTGAAGTGTATTGGGGATCCCAATACATTGGGGTAAAAATTTGCTTCCCGACCATGACCGACACATCACCATCCCCTCTTCGCATCATAGACCGTGATCGACATATTAGCAATGGCCTCCTCCCATCGTCACAGACCATGACAGACATCGAAGTATTGCATTACCGTCCCTTCTTGCGGACCATAATACATATATCCTGAGAAACTGAAGTCTACTGCACGATTAGTATGAAAAACAACATAATTTAAGATACCTGTCCTTTTTCCTTTCATAGTAACTGTAACATATTACGATTAACAGTAGATAGCAATTCAGAACCAAAACATATGATTCTAAATTTCTCTTTTTACAATGTTAGCAGTATCATTGTGTTTCATATTTTAATCCCACAGGGATTATGCTAACAGCAATGATGATATTGATGAATTTGTTGATTATTATGATTAGAATACTCAAGCAAAACTCAAACAAAATTACTTTCATCATGCTTATTATGCATACGTGAAGCATGTCTTGCTCTTATTAAATTATCTCGTTGTTTAAATTTGGATAAAAACAGAATAAAACATTTATTAGATCGTATGCGACGTCTTTTTCCAACAGATATTAAATTACCACGTACTGCTACAGAATTAATGAAGATCATTGGTATGTGCAACAAATAGAAAATTTTCATGATAATAGTATATTTATTCATTCAGCTGCCCGTAAGCTGCAAAAAATACTTTTAAAAAGCAATGGTAATGTATCTTTTAAGTTTAACAGGTGTTCTGCTCATTTAGCCTACGTTTAAAGATAGTGGTCGATTTGATTTTCGTCAGTTGTAGGACCTTTCTCGTAGAAAAACGATTCTCTAGGTAATAGTATAACAGGCGAGAATAAGAGAATTCCTTTTTTCACCTTTTTGGATGTTCAGTTCGATCTCTTAAGCCAAAATATACAAATTCTGTGCTGTTTGCATACCACTAGGGTTTGTTCAATTACTTTAAAAGCACCAATTGAGTCGTTAAAGATCGATTTTTGAAGGTTATACCATACTGCAACTTTCAAGACGCAAAAGCACTTCAATTTATCTGCATCAACACTTTTCAGGAAAGAGAATATTTGTTAACTATCTTAGTCAAAGGTTTGCATTTGAATCCAAAAAAGACAAGTTTGAGTGTTATATTGAAACTATACATTAAATAAAGATTATATAACAAGATATTGATTCAAGAACTTGAAATTCTTGATCACTAGTAGACAATATCTAACTATCTGTACCAAAGAGAATGCTATAATTATTACTCACCATTATAGGTAACTGTACTTGTCCAGGAACCGATTTCATCCACAGTTATATCTGAATTGATGATGTTCCTTGGATTGATGAGAGACTTGTATGGAGCAAGAGCAAGTATGTTAGACAATAGATCAGAAGCTTGTTCTTTTGAAATCTCATTGAGAAAATCTATAGACTAGGATGCTTCAGATTGTCGATTTGCTGAGCACGCCTTGGTAGTTGATGAAGCACATTTCGCTTGTAGACGCAATTTTTTGAATTTGCTCTAAAAAGTACACATCTATTTCAAGTTATTCGAATATAAATTTTGTTTACTTCCAAGGTTTGTTTTGGACATCCTGTATGTTTTTCAAGTTCGAGGTACTGAGCTTTACTTGGATAAGGAGTTTTTAGAAAATAGGTGTTAATGTAATATAATCCATCTTCGGTGAATTTACATTTGATTGTGTCATACAAGATATCGTCAGTAGGAGATGATGCCATGGTAATGAAAGAAGTGAATGAAATCAGAATGAAATCGAACAAATGAAGTGTTGGAAGAGAAAAAGAAAATGAAGTTTGAAGAAATAATGTGTAGTGTACACAGAAAAGATGAGAAGGCAAAATAGAATAACGATGAAGTAGCTTGAATTGATAAATAGCATTTATGATGTCTTTCTAAACAGTGACGAATCTATTTATTGATGTAGAATAGTTGACGACTAAATGACATAGTTAAACAGCCGGCGAAATGTCTTATTAGATTGAGCAACATATATATCAAATTTTCATAATTAGCTAATATCAGTTAATGATACATCCATTAGTCGATTGATTGTATGGTACAATAATTCATTTCAAGCGGCTGAAAATGTCATTTTTTTCTTTCTCATTTTTATTGCTTATGTTTTTTTCAATATCTTGGCAGGATACTTATATTTCACTGAGAAACAACAAAAAAGTGACTCCTTTGATCTTTGGTTGGGCCTCATGTGAAATCTATAAACTGAAATGTCTGTTACTCTTTGCTGGATAAACGCCAAGGATAGATATGGTTTATCAAAAATGTGTGAGAAAGAAAAAAGTTCTTAATTAGAACTCTTTAAATGTTTATATAACAGAATTTTATGTATTGATGCTTGAGTTCAACTCTCAACAACGGATGTTCCACAACGATGATAGAATTTAAGTATCTATTTATTGCAAAACAAAGTTTGTGTTTTTGCGATAAGTTTTGAGTTTGATTATACCGAAAGAGTGACTATGTGTTTGAAATCTATTAAACCAACACAGGATTTAGATGTATACTTCATAAAAAGTAATTTACTCAATATATATTAAGTAGGATGTATTTGAGAAATTTTCCTGTAATTTATCTATAATAAATACTTATGTCAATCTTTTGTTTGAGAAGCAAAAAAAAATTACGTTAGTTTATAGATAAAATATTCATTTGATCACAAACGTTAGAAATGATATATACTATTTCTTATTGTTATCGCTCTCGTTCTTCTTTATTCTTGAATCCAGATCCAAAAGCCCCTTTCTAAGCAATGTGAGTATATGAGCGATAGAATAGGTTGAAAGAGATAAAGAGAACATACTTATATCATAAGGTGTTCTTTCTGACATAACATGTATACTGTATGAAACAATTGGCAATCACTACGATCAAGAATAACAAACATCGGTGCTAATATAAATTTCATAATATTCATCTGTATTGAAAAGATGTTTTTCTTTCTTTGATACTAATATAGAATGTATTATAGGACCAAAGATGTTTGTTAGAGACGGATAGATATTCTGTTGGAAATTTCTGATGCTAAGCTGCGTATTTGTGCTCAGTTAATACGTATATACATGTATGTTATATTGAAATTATAAACGTGATCGTTTTTTTAAACGGACTTAGAATTTATAGAATATCCCGTCATTGTTGCACTTTGATCAGATTCAGTTATTGAACTTGTCTTATTCAAATTAACTAAAAGCTATTGATTGTTAACAACAACATTATCACGAACAATAATAGTGATAGAAGAAAAGCGTCTTTTCGTTCTTTTTCTCATTTGTTTCCTTTAAATCACAGAATTGTATCGAGTAACACGTTTTACATGCTTTAAAGACACAAACTCACAGTATAAATCAGTTTATCAAAGAGTTGTTTCTTCACACATATCTACTTCACGAAAATTCTCTTATATTCGTGGTGCTATTAAAAATCTCTTATCAATATCCATGCATGATAAGTTGAATCCATATGTATGCATCATGCTTTTAAAAAATGATAAAACAGTCGATTTTGTCACTTAACTCAAGCACTTTTGACACTAATGCAGATGTATGTCCAGGAAAATTGGTTATTGTTTTTTGAAGCACCAATGACAAATAATATTGATATTTGTTAAACACATAAGTTCATGAAAATTGTAACTGTCGGAGCATTAAAACTTACATTGATAGTTGAATTCCATGAATGCAGAGCAAATAGCTTAAAATGGATTATATAGTTTTATTGACTAAAGAGACGGTGTATAAAGTGATTTTGACCCCTTATGAAGCACAACTTGGTTATGGAATTCCAGTTCTTCATCAACGTTTTGGGTGTGGGTGTGGTGAGTGTGGGTGTGGGTGTGGGTGTGGGTGTGTGGGTGTGGGTGTGAGTGTGGGTGTGAGTGGGGTGTGGGTGTTGGTGTAAGTCTTTTATAATCACACATTCACACCCACACCCACACACACCCACACCCACACCCACACCCACACCCACACCCCACACCCACACCCACAAGTAGTTATTTTCAAGATAAAACAAATTCAATTTTGAAGAAAAGAAAATGATTATTATTTCTTATTAAATTTTGTTTTTGATTCTGAACTTTTCCTTTATGAAAATTGAAAACATGTTTTTTTTTAATATTATTTTTGATTAATAACAAATTATGGAATATATTTTTGAATTTCATTTAAAAAACGAAGATAAATAAGAAGTGTTAATGATTGATTATTTATATTTAATATTGAAATTTCTCGTTGTAATGTATGAAACATTGATTCACGATTAGATAAACACATTTTATATAATTCATGTAAAAATTTTCCATTCATTTCACACAATATTGGTAAAAGAGAATTAAGATTTTTTGATATTAGAAATAATTTAACATCATCAGTTGTCCATTGATCGATCTCAAATGAATATTCACTAGAAATAAATACAAAATTAATTAGAAAATTCGAAATAAAATATTTACTTGTTTGTTAGAATTACTATCGAATCAGTTTTTTGATTTATTTAAATATATTTTCTTCGAAGATCAATTTCATTTTTTAATTTCATTTGTGGTAACTCAAAATCAAATTTTGTAAAATCAATATTAATTGTTCCATTAGTTATACGATTTAATCAACCATCTGGACAATAACTAGATGTTAACATAATAGGAATTATTTGATATTGACGTTCAAATCCATAAAATGCTTCAATTCTATAAGAACTATTTTGTTTATGTTTCCGACATACATAGAAGAATATATTCACATTCATCGATTATTTCATATTTTTCATTCATTGATGTATCAAATGTTTCATCTTGATCAATCCAAACTGGAATATTATCTTGATTAGTTGATTGTAAATACGAAGACATCTATATCTGAACTTGAAAAGTATAACATAATATCATATTTATAATTACTCTTTTCACATCTTGATTTTGCCACTATTATATAATTAATAAAAAAAATTATTTCATAAAAACTGATGATTTCATTGACAAATCAGTACTACGATCAACGTATTCACTAAATATATTTATCGATATAAATCATTTGAATAAGGATTTTTTACACTCTAAAAAAAATCGGTTTTTTACCGAACCCCCAAAAAAGGTTCCGGAGATGTCTAAAAGTATCCAAAGATGTCCAAAGTCTCAAAAAAAGGATAAAAAAATCTACGAAACCTTTAAAGGTTCTTACCGTGTACCGAGGATAAGAACCTTTTGCTGCGAAACCTTTTTTTAAGTTCCGTACAGCAGAAAAAAGGTTTCGTAGGAAAATACGAAACCATTAGAGTTTCGTATTAAACTCTACGAAATCATGAGGGTTTAGTGCAAAATCATGAGAGTTTAGTACGAAACTATTAGGGTTTAATATGAAACTCTAAAGGTTTCGTATTTTCCTACGAAACCTTTTTCTGCTGTACGGAACTTAAAAAAAGGTTTCGCAGCAAAAGGTTCTTATCCTCGGTACACGGTAAGAACCTTTAAAGGTTTCGTAGATTTTTTTATCCTTTTTTTGAGACTTTGGACATCTTTGGATGCTTTTAGACATCTCCGGAACCTTTTTTGGGGGTTCGGTAAGAAACCGATTTTTTTTAGAGTGTAAGTAAAGAATCAAATGATGTTTATTCAAGATAAATGAAATCCAACAAAATAAACAGAAAAAAAGTAGTTCAGCCTACACAACAGCTTGTTTTCAATCAAAATATGATAAACTTGTTCAATAAAACATAAATAAGCCCTAATAGTAACAAAAAAAAACAAATGTCTACTAAATTAAAATAAAAAACCATATGTATCTTATTGATTTTTTATTGACCAGCATAATAATAATCGACGAAATGGTGTTGGAATAATACATGTAAACAGATCTTTTCATTGGTACTTAATGCATCTGTGATACCAAGTGATACCAAATATTCACTAAATGATGCTTGACTACGTGAACGATTTGTAAAAAAATTTTTAATATAATCGTGCTCCAATTCATTGCGATCGAATTTCTTTAAGATGAGTTCCAAGAGAGTAATATAATCAATATTTAACGAATCACTTTTATTTTTAATGATATATTCCATTTTATTAAATTCATTAACATTAAAATGTACTGGATGATTCATCCGATCGAAATTTGTAATTTCCCATGAGATGGTTTCACCTTTTTCATGTAATAAACAAGCAACAATCATTAATTTACAATAATAATGATTTGGAACATTGTCATCCATCATTGTACCTCGAATTTCTTGAACTATAGGTCCTAAAATGTCCCCAATCATTCTACGTTTAATTGCTTCATATCTTTCGCTTTGTAAAAGTTGAATTTCTTGTCGGAGAGATCCATTTTCAATCTGTAAATTTGAAATTTCAGTTTTCATATTTTCATTTTCAATTAACATATCGATAACAATTTTTTTGATTTTATCCATTAAACGATCTAGTTGTTCACCTTGTGCATGGCCAATTTGATAATGATCATTAATGAACAAAAAAGATATCATCAATTAAATGATGAATGTGTTGACTAATTGATTGTGGTTCTTAATTCATTATTTCCCTGAATTTATCATCAGCAATATCATCAATGGCTTGTTTTAATTCATCATAAGCTGGACATTGTTTTGAAACATAAAAAGAAATAATAGAAATAATTTTGTTTTTAAGAGTACGTTCACGAGACATTTTTACAAAATACAATAAATCTAAAAGATAGAAATGGTCAAACAATATATAATTGAATAAACAAAGATAGCTAAAGTTAATTGCAATTTAATATGTGCTTCTGCCATATTCAATCTACCATTTTATTATTTTTTTTCGTTCTGTAGAACCAATAAGTCTAAATTTTAACTAATCAGTTTTTTTCTTTTTTCCTTTCTATTCTAAGTCCACAATATATAGATGTCACGCTATGCTATAGAGAACATAGTAGTATATTATAGTAACATTTCAATACAATGTTTATTAATAAACCTGTGCAAAAAAGTAATTGAAAATAATAGTTAAACGAAGAAAATTCTGTTATCTTTTTATATGCTGAGTTGTTTCGAATTGTCGAGCATCATATTCATCATTTACTTTTGATGATTTTAATATGCTATCAACATCACCCTCTTTCCATTCTGGGTTACATGTTGGACGGGTGTGGGTGTGGGTGTGGGTGTGG